AGCCGGAAGGGACACCAACCATCACTCCTACATTCAGTCAGAAGGGACACCAAGCAACACTCCTACATTCAGTCGGAAGTGACACCAACCATCACTCCTACATTCAGTCAGAAGGGACACCAACCATCACTCCTACATTCGATCGGAAGGGACACCAAGCAACACTCCTACATTCGGTCGGAAGGGACACCAACCAACACTCCTACATTCAGTCAGAAGGGACACCAACCAACACTTCTACATTGTATTTTTTCTGAGACACATTTCCAAGACTGGGGCTTCAAATCCCACCTCTGCTTTGAAGACTACAAAGGACACATAAGAACTTGGACGTACCCTATCAAGATTACTCTGGTAAATGTTATTCAGTCTCTTTACATAGGCATCCCTTTTACTCTTGATGGTCCTGTATGAAAATAAACACACCTGGTTAATGTAAACAGTAGCATATGTATTTGGAAGATTCCCAACTCCACACTGCCTCCATTCCCTTCTTAAACTCACTGTGTATGTTTCCCAAGTAACAAGCTTTAGAAACTTTTTAGAAGAATCAATTGGTCTCTGAATTAGATAGTTTGGGGCAGTGGAATACTGTTTCCTACTAATTAATCTGCCTTATAGGGTACTTGAAATACTTACTGCCAATTGAACTTGGTGTGACTTCCCTCGAAGCCGTAGTCCTCATGATCGTGAAGATACTCTGCATGCACCGCTGTGTTCCACATCACCTAACACACACACACATGCATGCAGATTCACGGTGATGCCACCCTCAAACCTGCAATACATTGACTCAATACAAAAAGCACCACTGATATCGCACAAAAAGGAGTGGTAACTTAATGATGTATGGCTGCGTATGTAAATACAAGTATAGTCATAAGTACTCTACAATCACAATGATGTTTAATTGTATCGGAAAACCTCACCTTTTTAGGGACACACCCAACATTGACCTGAAAAAGTACAATAAAAGGTGTTAAACAGTCTTAAAATGACTGTGCTATTTATTCAAGGTGATTTATCGTTATCTAATTTGATTACCTTGAGTACAGTTCACATGTACAATAGACCGGAATCTGCAAAGCATTGACACTACTTATATTCTGGCAATGCCTGCTGTAACTTGTCCGACCCTGTAACCATTATGGCAGTTACATCTATGTTCTATAAGCTGAAATAAGAATTATGGGTTTCTAGTATTCAGAATTATATGGCTGAAAACTGGCCAGTGAACTTACAACAATACTGGAGTCTTGACCTTACATTTCAATATTCAGTTTGCAATATTTCAGTAGCATACTGTACACAGAGTGTTATTATTAATTTATTGGCAAATTTATATATTAGGACCATTATTATCACCTCAAAATATGCATATTTAATAGAAAAGTGACCTGTTCTGCCAACCGCACCATTTATTTGATATATTAACAATATTACATTGACAACACAAAGTTGGATACTATTAATAATATTTAAATATATTAATTCATATTTTATAATGAATATTTTTACACTGTACAGCAGAATACATTACCATTCAGAGTTTCTAAACACAGGTTCTGTTCATTAAACTTCCAAGTGAGTCAAACTGAGACCTTGTTTTAAAGACAAGGGTGTTACTTTTTATAAGCACATAAGGCAAAGCCAATATACCTCAAGACACCTGTGGAAATGCATAATATTTATTCATTTAAAAGAACTGTGCCTTCAGTATTTAATTATCAAAGCAAATATGAAATTTATGTTCGATTTCGTATTTCACTCGTAAAAAAATAGCATGTAAATGCAGTAATGCTGCTTTGGTAAAACCTTGCTTTTCATGTACATACAAGCCACTTGGAAACATAAAATATGTTACTTCTCAAACAATGGGTCTACATTCAGCATTGCATATGATTGGACAGTCATGCCCTCTTCACTTAGGAAATGACTTAACAAGGATCATCAGAGCTGGAAGTTCGTGTTTAGCATTAAAAAGCGGATTTAGTGCAGAATGAATAGGGGAAAAACGCATCACACTTTAACCTAACCTTCAACAGGCGCTGCACTTTCTCCTACACATGAAAATAAGAATCTGCAAAATTTAGATGTGTCTGACCGGGGGAAATAAAACTTCCTAGGGAAGTAAAACTATGCATAAAGTGTTCATGAGCGACGGATATACTCACGCAGGTACCCCCGAGTTTTTTACCCTCGATCACAGCGGTTTTGGCTCCGAGCTCCGCGGCTCTCCTGGCACCGGCCAGCCCCCCAGATCCACCGCCGATGACCAGGAAGTCAAAGCGGGTAACAGCCGAAATGGATGCCATGGTACGACCCAGCAGAAGCACTTTGTATCTGTGGCACAATGAAATGGGTATCGGTGATAGGAAAGCGCCCCCGCAAGTCTGCGATCAGCCCAGATGAGTGCTGAAATAACATAAGGAATGGTGCTTAAATAAACACAAAAAGGGGGTGGGACATTAGCTAGACACCACACGGAAAAGGCTTCATGCTTAGTCATGATAAATTGCAAAAAAAAAAAAGAAAAGAAACGATATATTTAATATAAAATACAGATCTGTAACTTATATAAAACGATTCATATATAAAAGTGATCCATGTATTACTAAAATCTTGAAACATTTGTTTACTGAATCAAGGGATTCTATGGAGCAAGACCAAATATACATTATTCACCCATGTCAGTTTTAAAAGTTTTTATGATGCGGAACGCGATGTAGAACTGCATAAATGTTTTTACCAAATAAATAATACACATATGCTTTTCAGTGTCATCTAATTCAATAATACACTTCATTCTGAAAAAGATTAATAGTGAAATAGAAGAGATATTTGATTAATATAAAATGCAGAAATATGTGAAATATAGACGTTTTGAGTTGGACTGGGCATCTAATTGAAGAACAGCCGTGTTAATATAGGTGTTCCGTGTGTCGACGTTCAGGCAGAAGCATCACGATTGTAATTACAGAATACAGCACACTAGTTTTAGTTCTGCAACTAGATCTCTCGATCGTGATCTACAGTCATTACATCATTATCACAGTTAATATCAAATATTGTATTACTCTTTCGTTAATACTAATAACTATTAATTATATACCGCATACAACATATGTCGAGATTTTAATTTTAGTTTTGATTAAACTTTATTTCATTTTACTTTATATTACGGACAGAACCATATATTACCTTACCGAAACAAAGTCATAGTTATATTTTCTTTAAACTTCAGAAAACTTTGGAAATATAACAGTTGTTGTTGGTTTAAAAGATTACGGCACCAAACCGAATCGCCGCCTTTAATCAAGGCATTACTTCAATTACAGTATTACTGCAGTTTAAATTTAAATTTCTGTTACAAATTTCCGAGTGGATGTAGGCGGTTCTGGTCGTCAAGGTGGCCGCCTGCACGCCGGGACTGTTTTGACAGCTGCACGGCGAAAGGGAAGCGGAAACTCGTCACTTTGTAACCGGAGTTTGTGCATCTTTTCTTCCAGCGCCGGCTTGCGTGTGGCTACCGCACAATGCGAGCGAACCGAGGTCCGACCGCCGCTCATCCGCACTAGGACGCCGATGGGCCTGCGGGGGGCGAACGGCACAAGGCAACTGCGATCGAGAGCAGCCCAGGGCCGGAGCGCAGCGGCGGGCGGGTCGCCACCATGAGCTCGGACCGCCAGAGCGACGGCGAAGACGCCGACGAGGCTCAGGTGGACGGGCCGAGCGGCGGGGAGTCCGAGGAGGGCCGCGACGGGGACGGGGACGATCAGCGGGAGCCATTACCAGCTCCGCGACGCAGACACGGGGCGCCCGATAGCCGCACCGCCTTTAGTTCCACGGCAAAGGCTTACGATGCGCAGCTCGTCGGGGGATCGGGGAGCGGCATCGGGTGCAGCGTTTTCCAGTGGCTACGGAAGAGGACGCTGGGGAGAGGACTTCATGTAGACCCCGCTCGGGATAACTTCAGGACCATGACCAGCTTGTACTGCTCGATGAGCCCAGCCACGGACTCCGTTAACCTGAGCACCCAGACACACGGGGCCGTGTTTAATTTGGAGTACTCGCCCGATGGGTAAGAGCGGCTGCCGTCTGCATGTGCCCCATTCACTGCGGTCCAGGGTATCCCAGCAATGCACATGCTGCAGCTGCCTTGTTTGCAGTCATGAATGTAGACTACTGCTGTATGCATGCACTCCTACTCTGAAATTCCAGTTCATAAAATACTCGTTCACTTTAAACGTGGATCCAATTATTGTCCATTGGGTACTGCTTGCCTCATCCGAAACGGTGACCCCCCCCCCCTCGCCCGCCTGTCTTTGTCCCCTACGGTCAGATCCGTGTTGACGGTCGCCTGCGAGCAAACGGAGGTTCTTCTCTTCGACCCGGTGTCCTCCAGGCACATCAAGACGCTGGTGGAGGCCCACGAAGACTGTGTCAACAACATTAGGTCAGTGTGAGCGCCACTAGACTTCACTTGGCCTGTTAGCCACAGCCTCATCAAACCTCAGCTTGGCTTCCATTTTTCTTTGTTTTTTTAGTGTAACAATAAGCACTTAAGGCTTTTGGTTAACGGTAATATTTAGAATGACTAAACATAAGCAGTTAATTAGGATACAGCTGATTGTTATTCCATGTCCTGTTAGCTGTTTAACTGGGTCCAGTTTATTTGTCAGTCAGGTGTCGGATGAATACGGTTAATGTGTTTTGTAAAGTGGGGAGGTATTCCTCTCTGTGCTAAGATGGATTTTTCTGCTGACTGCTCTGAGGGGTGGTTTTTGTATGTGTGCATTTTTAGGTGGTGGTTTGCAGGCTCCTGTTTTCATTAGTGTAAACCCCCCAATTCCTCACATTGATTGGTGACAGTTATGCCCCATAGTTACACGTCACCTGGTAGCAGTCAGGTGGCACTACAGACAGGTGCCAAACAGTAGTTTGAACTGTAGCTCGTCTGCATTTTCTGGGTAAGCAGCTTTCTGAGCAGAGCCGACTGACTCTGCAGCATATGGTTTAGCCACCTGATCTCTGAAATGACAAACATGGCTCATAAACATGCAGCGTCTCCATTCCAGTTTAGTCTCTTAAGGTTTGCAAGATGCAAAAGTTATTTTCATTGTTTTACGAGATTACGTTGCATTCACAAATAATATGAAGTAAAGAATATATCTATTTATTTATTGGGCAGCATGTGGCTCAATGTGTTCGGGTGTTACCCTGTGATGGGAAGTTCATTGGTTCAAATCCCATGGTTGACAGAGTGAGTTCATCATTGGGCCTCTGAGAAAGGAACAGCTCGCCTTTAAAAGCCTGTGATTGTCTGACCTGTTTTCTCAAGAAACGCTTTCACTTTGGATGGAAGCATCTGCTTAAATAAAGAAAATGTTTATATCTTTATATTGTGTGTGTGTGTGTGTGTGTGTGTGACACCCCTCCAAATCATCGAATTCAGGTGTTACAATCACGTCCATAGCCACAGGTGTATAAAGTCAAGCACATAGACATGCAGACTGCTTCTACAAATATTTGCAAAAGAATGGGTAATTATCAGCGCAGTGAAGTGGTAGGCCGTGTAAAAATCAGAGCTGGGACAACGCATGCTGTGGCACAGTGTGCAGAAGTCGCCAACTGTCTGCAGAGTCAATAGCTACAGAGAGAGGAGGTAAACAATATATAAAAATAACTGTAATAGACTTCAAAGTAAACAATATTTACAAGTAAGCTCCAGATGCTCATGACTGCATAGGACAAGCAGGTATAGAAGATGGATGGATGGATGGAGTGAAGTAGCTTATTTCCTCCTCCTCATGTCATTAACGCCTCTGCATGCCAGGTTTCTTGACAACAGGCTGTTTGCCACCTGTTCTGACGACACCACCATTGCATTATGGGATCTGCGGAAGCTGAACAGCAAGGTGTGCTCCCTGCATGGCCACGCCAGCTGGGTGAAGAACATAGAGTACGACACCAACACACGCCTCCTGGTCACCTCTGGCTTCGACGGCAACGTCATCACCTGGGACACTAACAGGTGCGTATGGGGCTGCTCCTCCAGTCCCCCAGCTATTAATGCGTTCTTCTTTAATAATGAAAATGCTGCTGAGGTTATCCATCTTGTATCCAGTTTGTGACCTCAGCACCGTGTTTGATCGTCATGAGTGGTGATCCAGTCCATTTATTTAAATGTCCACACTCTTGCTAACTTATTTTTAGCCTTCAACACAAAACAAAAACATTAGCGTCTTCAAACATGGGTGCCTTTGGAGATCTTTCAGACATGGGTGCCTTTGGAGATCTTTCAGACATGGGTGCCTTTGGAGATCTTTCAGACATGGGTGCCTTTGGAGATCTTTATCAATCAAAGAACATCTCAGGTCACAGAATGTGTCTAGTTTCATTTCAGTTATTTCAATAAAAAGATCTAGCATGGTCTTGCATGCTAAGTCATGAATCTTCCCCGGTGTCTCGGCTCTCTGTCCCCCCCGTCCCCGTCCCCCCCAGATTTACGGAGGACGGCTGCCCCCATAAGAAGTTCTTCCACACACGCTACCTGATGAGGATGCGCTTGACGCCGGACTGCTCCAAGATGCTCATCTCCACTTCCTCAGGCTACCTGCTTATCCTGCATGATCTGGACCTGACGCAGTCGCTGGAAGTGGGCAGCTACCGCATCCTCCGCACCCGGCGGCCCCCACTCAGCTCTGGTGAGAACGGCTGTCCAACCCGCTAGCGCCTCCTGGAGGTGATGCTCTGTTTATGTCTGTTCATCCTCTTTTCTCTTAAAAAATAGTCTAACTTCTTTGGTTAAATTTTAATTTTGAGGCCAGCTGGGATAATTAGCAGCCCGATAATTAGTCAGTTTTGCGCAGTGTAGGGGTGTCAAACTCGCATATTGCTGTAATATCAGCAGTTAGCCTGTTGGCTCCAGTTAAATGCGAAAACTTTGGTCGTCCCATTCAAAGTATGTTTAAATAACTTTTAGCATGCAGAACTTCGACTGCTGCTTTGTATAAATGTAAAGTATTTGGCAAATTAGTTATTTATATTTTTGTTTGTTTAAAAAGGACATAAGTAAATCACGAATATGATACGGGGAAAATTTTAGGTCACTGTAAGCTATTCCTTGGTAACACCTCTTTTGGCAAATGTAAAGTGTAAAATATTTGCTATATATGGTCGTACTTTTTATTAATTTGATTCATATATGGATCTTTTTGATAGGGGCCAAGCAACATTAGTATAGGGATGCTGGGTGTTTTCTGCATTGTATTTGTGGGAATGAAAAACAAGAAGGAAGAGAGAAAAATTACTAGCAGGCTGACTTCAGAACATGACCTTAAAATTTACTCACTAAATATGTTAAAATACAAACTCATTGCTTATTAGTAAAAAAAAAAATCTGTGTGTGTGTGTGTGTGTGTGCAAATATACAGTGAAATGGACACACCTACCCATAGAAAGGTTTACTCTAACTATTTTTCTAAATTTTAGAATAATTTTGAAGACATCAAAAACGTATATGGGGATTATGCACTGACCCAGAAAAGTATTTAAAAAGTGTTGAGGGTGGGGACAGCTCTGTGGGCTGGGACAAGAAGTTTGCTGGCATGATCCCACCACTGGGCCCCTGACCAAGGCCCTTAACCCCAATCGCTCCAGGCACTGGCTGACCCTACTGTCTCCTCTACCTCAGTTCCATGAGGTGGCCTCCTGGGATGCTTTTCCAGCTGTCCTGCAGGAGCTCCCACATATATGCTGAGCTCTCACTGCACATGCTGACCTCTCACTGCACATACTGAGCTCTCACTGCACATACTGAGCTCTCACTGCACATACTGAGCTCTCACTGCACATACTGAGCTCTCACTGCACATGCTGACCTCTCACTGCCCGCTTCTCTTTCACACTCTGCTCTCACAAGCTCTCACAAGCTCCTCCACTACCATTTCTGCTGGCTTTAGGTGACCAGGTGACCAGCTCATGTGATGCAACATTCTGTCGGTCTCCTTTGTTCCTTTTTGCCGGCTTGCTGTGTCCAAACTTTTCACTGGTTCTGTGTGTGTATAAAATAACATTTTTAATCAGTGGCTCCACATGGCAAATCTCACTTTGATATGGTCTATTTATGTGGTGTACAGTTTGATGTACAGTCAGATGACTTTGATTAATGAGAAATTTTCATCCAAATGTTTGTTTGAACTTGGGGGGAACACTGCTTGTGCAAATATATCTTTGCAAAGTACTTCTTTTGGCTGCCCTGGAGACATTTAGATGTCTTTTCGAAGGCATTTATAGAAAAATTGGCAATTGTCGTTCAGTATCTGTGGAACTTTAGTGAAGAATCCTGTGTGAAATCAACTGGCCAGTAGCTTAAACCCTAAAGACCGAGGCTGACCTCTGACACAACAGAGAGGAGCAGACCTCTGGAGAGGTACATGCATTTAACATATCAGGCATATTAATAAATTGCATGAGATTTATACAAACTGTAATTGAGATTGTATTGAGGACAGCTAAAGAGTGGGTTAGAACTGTAAAAACCATAACTACTAACATTAACTTGCAATGTTGTACTTTGGTTGGACTTGCCCAACCTTTCAAACTCCCTTTCTTCAAGGCGAGAAACAGAGTTACCTCTTTCAGATCATCTAACAATACATTTTATGACATGCAGATATGAATGGTATTTGTGTTATGTCATCAAAAAGTTTTTCGAGGTCAGCATTTTGTCATTGGTGGCCGTACAAGTAGTTAATATGTATGGGATGTTTTAAGCTGGATACAGTTTCACTATAAATGTTTTAATCCTGTGTTTGCTTACATTTCTTTGTAACCATTATAGTATGGAGATTGTATGGCTTGCATTGTTAACATTAAGTGTAGACAAATGCCTTTGAGATTTATCGCAGTGTTTGTGCGTCACTTTTGAGACGTAGCATCTCAATCTTTATGCTTTATTAATGCTTTATTTTGCAGCAAACCAGGTTCTTATTTAAAATCTTGGTTACTTTTCTTTTTTCTCTCCCTTATCGCTGCATTTATGTTTTGTTGGGGCATTTTTACCATGTTAATTATGCAAGGATCTGTTTCTTCAGACTGTTGAAATTTAAACAATTTCAGTGTTTGTACGATTTCAGGAAAAGGAAGTTTTGGGTCTCCATACAAGCTTCCCGTTTTTATATTTAAAATACTTCCTTATTATGATGGCGATATGTGGTTGTGACAGATACTTGTGTAATATTCCAGCTGATATGGGGAGTCTTGAGCAATACCTGCCTAAGTAGTGATCATTCTTTGGATTTCCTCCCTGAAAGATTATATTTCTGAGCATTTTAAAGACATTTTTTGCTCAATTTCCCAAGTCTCACCCGTGACGGGAAATAGTTTTTCTCCCCCTACACTCTAGATGGCGCCACATCCGGCTCCAGGTCATCAGGAAGCCTTCGCCAAGGGAATGACTCCAGCAAGAGCCACCCTCAGGCCTCTCAGAGAGAAGGTGGGGGAATTCCTGGCTTCTTGTGTCTTGTTCTTAAGGACTGGAAATTGCCATGAAGATGGGCTTAAATCTTTTCTGAGTCATGTAGAACAGCTTTGCGTCTGTAATACACCAAGACTCCACACTGACTATAGAGCTTTATAGACTGTGATGAGGGGTAGTGGGTGGCAAGGTGATGCACTGGGTAGCATAGCCTCATGTCTCCAGGGCTGGGCCTTTGATCCCCACACCTGGGTAACTGGAGTTGCTGTGTGACAGTTGTTCCCCAGTTTACCCCTTTAGTCTTTATGCCTAGGTGGTGTCTCTAAATAGCCGATAGTGTGAGTTTGTGTCCTGTAATGGGCGTTCTTCCTGTCCAGGGTGTCTCCTGTCTTATGGCCTATATGAAGCTCTACTGATAAGGTTTTTTTTCTAGGATGGATGGTTGGAATTGACTTAATTCCAATTTTGGAGAAAAATAATGGGCCAAACATTGACATTTTGTTCTATTTTAACATGTGAATTATTAGGAATTAGTAAGGGAAAAAAAAAAACATTTTGAATTAACATTTGCCATTGTCAGCATTATGGTGGTCTCCTTTGTTTCAAAATATGTGTCAGAAATGAAAATGAGAAGTGTGACTATGATTTATGTAACGGATGTGAAAAATGCCTGGTTTCACGGTGGACCACAGCTGGTTTTGTTTACAGGTGGGGTTTCACCACAGACACCTGGTGGTGTAGCTTCACGGAGCTGCACAGAGTGCTTTCAAAATAGTTCTGTGGTGGAGGAACAGTCTGGTTTTGTGGTTTCATCATATACTGTGCTAGGAGAGGTTTATAGTAGGCCTTAATTAAAGTGTTTATAAGCTAGTCAGAGGCCAGAACTAATATGACTATTTTATAAGAATCCACAGTTCTTAAGCCTTACTCCAGCTTTGTATAAAGTAAGCTGGGGCCTCTGGAACCATGAAGCACTCCCAGTCCATGTCGTGCAATAGGTAAATTTCACCACCGGCATCTCCCCTCTCAGCAAACTTCACTGCCTAATGTTGTTTTGTCTTGGATGGTACCTGTATTACCAGTATGGTACCAGAAGGTGTTTTAGTTTCTTGCAGGAGCACAGCTACTAAATGTCATTTTTCATTTTCTTTGAGTACAATGGGCTATTAAATGGTGCACGATGCTGGTTTTGATGAACCGCAGCTGACGTGGGTGGTCTTCATGGTGCCCGTCTCCCTTAGGTGCATCGCCGAGGAACAGCTTGGAGGTCCTGACCCCAGAGATCCCCGGAGAGCGGGACAGAGGAAACTGCATCACCTCCTTGCAGCTGCACCCCAAGGGCTGGGCCACACTGCTCCGCTGCTCCAGCAACATGGATGATCAGGAGGTAGGTGATGCCCGTGCTCTCAAGGGTGACAAACTGTTATGGAGTCATTTTCCTGTCTTGGCATTTTTCAGTTTCACGTCGCATTGCAGAAGTCACATGAGGGTAGATTTGGATACGGGTAATCTGGTTGGCCCCTGTATTAAGTAGCTGTGCTCTAACTTGGCCGGGAATTGTGTTGCTGAGAATGGGTAATAGGATGTATTAGATGAATACTGATGTGTCTAATTGTCCCCAGTTTTAGAAATTGACACCACTCTTTATTCAGATATATTCAAATTAGCATCGTAGCTTTTCAGAATGAAGGCACCAGTTTTCACCAGTGCGGCTCGTGTTTCCACTGGTCTCAAAAAAGAATGGAACTGAAATGTTACATAGGCAGAAGCGAGAGTGAAGTACAGAGGTGTAATGCTTTGCTTTTATTGTTTTTGCTTTTTTTAATATGATGGAGTCTTAGGGCCACGCTGAGGGGGAAAAAATCTGAGGAGTCATAATATCACAGGAATAATCGTAGGATAATTACAAGGGAAAAAAACAGAATTTTATGACAAAAATATCACGATAGTTTGAAAATAAAGTAATTTAAGCTACATGTTATTTTAGAGGGAAGATATTATTAGAGCACCCAGCCATCTGTGACACTGAAGAATGCAATCTTGTGAAGTTATAGTTTAGTATAGGATTCACATAATAAAACACTTTGTCTTTTGGTGCATCAGCACTACATTGTCATATATGGAAGAGTATTAGGGTCAATGAAGCAAATGATCAAATATTTTGAGATTAAAGTCGCAAGTAAAACAGTAAGAACCTGTCAGCTGAGAAGAACCTGAGAGATCCATAGGAGGTGGAACATCTTGCATGTCAACACCATGCAGATGCCTCATATTCAGCTGCTGTCTGGCTTCATTCCACATGGCATGAAAGCTCACGCCTGCTAGGACATGAATTCTCAAACTTTTCAGCCCTTGACCCCAAAATAACAGGTCCAGAGACACACCACCCCTGCTAGGTTTACATTGACGGTCTCCAGCCTTTATTATAGTGCAAGGTACCGAGTCGACGGTGGATTTGGCCGACCAGGACTGCACAGTCGACTGGTTTCACTTAAGGTTAAGATGGGGAGGAGAGAGATTTTTTTTCACGCTTTTTTTATAGCCTTACTTTGCAAATCATCTCACAACCCTACACTTTGGTAACTGCTCTGCTAGGAGAAGCCATCCATAGAATTCAGCTTGTACCTCAGCACTTCCTACTTTAATCTCGAAAGTTTATTTCAACTTTTATCTCAGAAATTCTGAGTTTGTCAGAATATTAGCTGCCTCCCGTAGATCAGTATTTTATTATTTTTGACCTACACTGGCCCTACTACAATATCATACAAGCAGCATTAATAATTCATGGTGAAATATTTCAAGATGGCGAGTAATTTAACATTTTTGATTATTTTTTTTTAACCATTGATTTGACATACATGTAACCTAATTAGCATTAACCAGAAGAATGCTTTATATGCTGTTAATATTAATGTTAGTATGGGAATTAGTACAATTATTTTTTGTTATGCAGATTCTGCAGTTAATCAGAAGGGCACGATAGCCAGTTTTGTTTCCACTGATGTTATGGTTCCAAGTTTTGAAACCAGCTTTTTTGTAGCGCTGAGATGGAGCCATTTCTTCTGGCCTTGGGGCAGTTTTTTTTTTTTTGCTGTGGAAACACACACAACCAGTTCCAAACTGGGCAAAAGCCCTGTATCACATTGGTGGAAATGGGGTATAGGTGTAACATTTACTGTATTTGTTTGTAAACGATCATGTACAATGAACGTGTCTCAGAATTAGTGTCTGTTTTCTCCCCCCCCCATTTTAAATGGCTTGATTCTTGCAATCAGCTGGGCTGTTTCTTAACTCATCCGTCAGTTTTTACATTGGTTGCAGGATCAGACGTCTATTTTTTAGAAGAGTTGAATTTTCTGTGTTGTGCTGGCAGTGAATGTCAAACCTATTTGATGTTTTCAGATATGAATGATATGACTTTGTAAGATTTTAGTTAACAGACCATCTTTGCTGGGATGAGGTTTGGTCAATCTGACACCAGTATTTCACAATCGCATCATTCATACTGCTTCAGTTGTACTGTCTGTTTTCCTTTTTCTTCTTTCCCCTATACTTGGACACATTCTCTGACGTTACCCTGTACGCCTAATTTACCTTACAAAGTGCCTGACCACACTAGAACCAACTTAATATGGCCTTGTAAGTTTTATAAAAACTTCAGTACTGACACAAACATTGCGGTTTGTTCTAGTGACAACTTCCGAAATATAAAACACCACAAATTACTGCCAGCTAACCTCCCCTTGCCTGACCTTTCTGCAGTGGACATGCGTGTACGAGTTCCAGGAGGGGGCGCCGTCGCGGCCGCCCGTGTCCCCTCGCTGTTCGCTGCGACTCACCCACTACATCGAGGAAGCCAATGTGGGCCGAGGCTACATCAAGGAGCTGTGCTTCAGCCCGGATGGCCGCCTCATCTGCTCGCCCTACGGATACGGCGTGCGTCTGCTGGCCTTCGACGGCAGCTGCGGCGAGCTGGCTGACTGCCTGCCGGCCGAGACCAGCCGGCTGCTGGAGGTGCGCTCCATCTACTCCCATAGCGACGTGGTGCTCACCACCAAATTCTCCCCCACGCATTGCCAGCTGGCTTCAGGTTGCCTCAGCGGACGCGTGTCACTCTACCAGCCCAAGTTCTAGGGCTCAGACCCACGGACCATGAGGGACGCCCACAGGCGGCTCGTGAGTGCATTATGAGTCCTATCAGCAGGAGGGATGAACTACGATTTCTTTTTAAAATGTTCTGACTCTGAGTTCAGGCAGCACGTACAGAACACCTATGCCATAAACCAGAGGGGTTTGGGAGTTTGTTTTAGTAGTTTGTTTCATTTACACTGTCTTAATGCATCCTGGAAACTAAAGAGAGGCACCGACTGCACTCCATGCCATAAATAAATTAGGGTGGGAAAAACAAAACAAGGGAGGTCATGACCTGACCGGAGACCACATGACCTGACCGGAGATCACACCCCCACGTTACAGGTAATTGCTAATGGCTAATGTGGGGATACGAAATTGAAGAATACAAATGGCTCCCCCAGGGCCCTCCACATGCTTTGTTCTCTGCTTTATCCACGCTGCCCGCTGCTGTTCCAGCGCGACGATGCTGCTTCACTGCTTTTAAGCTTTGGGGATTCGTCTGCAGGAGTCTTGTTTTTTCTGCTGCAAAATTATATGTTGTGAGTTTTTCACCTTTTTACATTTTATATGGTTTCCTCAATTTGTTTCATTTCATGTGTAATGACCCTAAAACTAGTTTTTCAACACTCTTATTAATCCCCCATGGAACCAACGCACATGTTAAAAAATAACACTTAATCACTATAAACGTTGTATATACGTCTGTAGTCTTGTTTTCACTGGATTTTTAAAAATCTACACATGACTTCTATTGCTATATGTAGAAGTCGTGTGAAGTTGTTATGGCTATAACATTTTATTTTTTATTTTAAACTACGGGATATCGTTAAGAATTTTGGAATTTTTTTTAGTCCTTGTCCTTGACAGTATCTTCTGGTCACTTCTCTCTCACCAAGTGCTCTGGGCCTTTTAGCACATTAAGCTTCCAATGTCTCAGTGGCAGTAATGTCTGCCTCAACAACATGCAATGCTATGCTCAATATTGCGCTAACCTTTAATTTTTTACAGTCCAGGATGCCTGCCTTTTCTGTAAACCATACTATGCTCACAGCTCTTTGATTGTCAACTGAGAATGAGAATGAAAGCCACTGGACTTTATGCCTCTGATGATGAGACATGGGAATATCACTGGTTATCCTTCCTGTGGTATCAACACTATGGCATCATAGCATTTAATGTGAATAATAACTGCAGTTTGGGAAAAAAAAAAACATTAGTGTCTTGGGAGAAGCTCTCTAACTTAGTGTGAACCAGACAGTGGTTGTGATATTACGGATGGTCTGACTGGGCCTGATACCACCCTACAACAAACAGAACCCCATCCCCCCACCCCAGATGAAGATTTAAAACCTTTCTAGAATTTCTTGGATCTTTTGCTTCAAATAAACCTTGTAAACTGACCATCTTCTGGCCTGCTGCAGGGAACAGTGTACACTACAATCTGTTTTAACACCGTTAAAGATGTGTCATGGCAATGCTTAATCCGTACACCATGTTGTTTCTAGTCATTTCTGTCTTCACCGTAGCTCTTTCATTGTCACACATTTTGTCGCCATGGATTCGGAGTGTAGTTTTCGACCTTAGAGCATCTGCTGGGTTTTGGCTTTCAGTCGGTTGGGGGTGAGTGGGGACTGAGTTAATGAGCTGCATCCAGCCCATTTTAGCATCTCCTGACTGCTTTGATAAATGATTGTTCTTGGTTCACCCTGAACAGGTGCAGGTAATGCATGTATTTTCTCTGCAGATCAGTTTTGCTGTCAATATATCCAGTTACATTCTGTTTTCATTGTAGTCACTGACAATATTAATCCCTCTACTTTCTCAAACTTTGTTTTGGTTTGTGTTTTTTTTTGTGTAATTCATATTAAAGCAAATAACCAGATCTTTGCCAAAACTTCAGATGGTAATTTGTGTTGCATGCCAGCATAATATTGTGGTGCCCTCGGGGGTTGGTGATGCGTTTCAAATGCCTGCCTTTGCAGTGGGGGTGGGGTGTAACCATAAAGGTTTCAGAAGTAGGTCGACAATCTCAGAAGCATTACTCAGATCAACCCTTTGGGTGAGAAATGTGTAGTGTTACCCATGTTATGGCAATCCTGACGTAAGAGCAGTTCCCGGGTGCCTGAGGCTAAGCCCTTCACTAAGCAACTTAGTAGAGTTGCTATAATTTTATTTCATAATGCAGTTTCTCTCAATCCGGTCCTCGGGGACTCCAAGACAGTCCATGTTTTTACTGGGGGGGGCAAGAAACACTGTTATAATATATTTCTGTTGAAGGAACTTTTTTTTTGCCTTTTTTTTCGGAAAATATATTGTTTATAAGTTGGGTATGTTTCTATCCACTTCACCATGGTCCACTTTGTGTTTTTCTTCCATTTAAATGTATTAGTGACTTGATCTAACATTGTGTATGGTTAGAAAATGTACTGCTTATCAGAGCGCTTCTACACAAATAGACAGAAGCAAGTAGCATTTGATTTGCACACCTTTGTTTCCTTTGGGTAATGTGACTTTTTTAGTTAAAATGTAAAGATTTGCTTTTTTTTAAACTTGGTTATTGCTTTGTAAATGGGTGCACTTTTCAATTCAATGTAGTTGTACCTGAAAACACTGAGGTAAATCCTTATGAAACTTATTTTTATTATGCTTAAAGTTGCCTGTTTCTATTTAGTAATTAAAGTCAAGCTTGGTAAGTAAGCTTCCTTCTCAAATTAATAACAATAATAAAATGCCTCTGGACGTTTTAATGGAATAAAAGCTCCAAAATATACCGGTGTCTTTGTATGTCTGTATAAAGTGCATACAATTTCTGTTTACCAAAGTAACATGGCACAGGTACTAGTAGGGCTCGTGAAAGTCACTCCTATTGGAGTTTTAGGATACAAAAAAAACAGCAGAAAAATAAAGCAGAGATCTGACGTGAGGCAGGCTATATATGAACCGCTATGTTGGTTTGAATAGCTGTGTTCTGCCCAATACAAATTCCAAATAAGATTCCACCATCCATAATTATTGCTGAAATATCACTTTGTTTAGTGGGAATTCAAAATACAGCCATTGCGTAGTAATGTTATTACAAGGGTTTTATTAAGGTTATTACATCCATGTGCAGTTTTTTTTCTCACACTTTGAAACTGGTCATCTATTGGCTACAGGCAGGGGTGGGTTTTATTTCTGGGGCCCCCACTATTTCTGTCTTTATAGCTGCATGCTCATCAGGCCTTTCATTGTTTGTGGTGAAGAAACACAGGCATTTTTTTTCGTTAAAGACTTTGATTTCCTTCCCTTTCATGGCGCTGCTGAGACATGATTGCTTCATGCTTGCATATAACCTCAACATTAGCTAGTCAATAGAGTCAGAAGATCGTAGCTAGCTATCTGAATAGCAGAACATGCTTCTGTGTCTCGAAAAATAAGGAGCACGTTAACTCTGCATTGACTTTATGGCCAATAGGGGGCACCCAAACCTCAAGTGAGTGGTGGGAACCAAATGAAGGCGTCATCTTAAAAAGAGAAGTGGACACCCAGTGAATGGGGTACTGGTTTGTAAATAGTTTTGAAGTTTGTTAGGCTTGGTAGAAGTATTTTCCAATACTGTTTTTATCTGTTGCATTCTGTTAGTAAGTTTCAATCTGATATACTTTTTAGGATATATTTGGTTATATACTTCATTAATAATTACAAATGACTATCTGATACTGACCTGTAAATAGCAGTGCTCGCCTACAGAGAGCAAGTTGGGGGAGATGTAAAGCGAATTTCCTGAGAGGGATCAATAAAGTATCTGTTATTATAGCCATTAATTTGCCTAAACATATTTTGGACAGCAGGAGGAAACCCATGAAAAATTCACTAGGAATCGACCCTCCTGTAAAGGAGAGAGAAATAATCTGCTTTGGCCAATGATTGTTACTGAATGAGGAATAAAGTCAGACAGACCAGTCAAAGGTCTGCGTGCTTTCATTTTCATCCGATTTCTCCCACCAGCTGTGTTGCTCCATGGGTTAAATGATAGTAGCACCTCAGATGATAAGATCCTGGTGTAGAGGAACAGCCATTTTAAAGGCAGAGTAAACATACTATAAAGAAACGTACATGTCATGTTATACATGATTTGCATATTCTACGTGAACACATTTGAAATACAGTCATAGTTTAAAACTCCAATAATGCTGAAAATCAAGAATTCATGGTTCGTCACCACTGCTTGCCCTCCTTACCGTAAGGAAAAATACATTGTTTGTCAACCAATGCAGAAGTTGTTTCAACATAAATCAGATGTTTGCATAGGGAGCAGTATAAGGAAGAACGTCAGGCCTTGGAGGTAATGTAAGCACTGTCATGTCACTTAAGGCAGTTTGGGGTTTGATTTGAGTTCTGCACACCGGCAATCAGAACTTGGCAAGTCTTTAGGCACAGCTCACAGCAGTGGGCTGGCGTTTGATAGGAGGGGCTGGGAAACCCTCCCCGTAATACCCTGTAGCAGCAGCGTGGGGGTGCTCTGTGCTGCCACAGGCTGAGTGGGGGCTGCAGCGAGGCCCCCTACCCCAGGCTGATATCCCCAGCAAACATGGTGATGAGCAGGATGATGGAGAAGCCGCTGAGCAGGCCGACATTCTGGATCAGGAAGAACAGCAAGGCGTTGCTGGTGGAACCCTCCTGCTCCTTCAGGATGCTGTTCATCTCGGGGAACTGAGCCAAAGAGAAGCTTTCTTTAGGGGAAGCAGCTTATTTCTGAGGGCACACCCTATACAGGATGCCAGCTCTTAGAAAGACACTAACGTGCTATGAGCAATTTATATGGGGGGCAGTGTGTGTCTCTGTGCCTGTGATCGGCAGGTCGCCAATTTGAGTCCTTGAGCGAGGCCCTTAACCCCCAGCTCCCTGGGTGCTGCTATGGGTGGCTGCCCTTCATGGCCAGCTTGCTCTCGCCTACAGAGAACAAGTTGGGGGAGGTGTAAAGAGAATTTCCTGAGAGGGATCAATAAAGTATCAGTTATTATAGCCATCAATTTGCCTAAACATATTTTGGACAGCAGGAGGAAACCCATGCAAAATTCACTAGGAATCGAACATTTTGGATATGTGCATCCATGGTTATATCCACTTATCTTACTTGGCGCTGGCTTCTAGTTTGGCGGCCACAGTGATTTCAGCACGTCTGATGACCTATTTTAACCTTTTTAATTCTTAATCTCAAGTTTTACGGTGCTGTATCCCCAGGTCAGATTCATGTGTACTTTGTACATTTGGTAATGAAAACTGATTCTGAGCAACCATTGAGTATTATTTTAGCTCCTTATTTTGTTGTCTATTGCCAAAATTATGACCTAATGGTTTAAATGTACATATCAATAAAATTCTTCCTGCTTTACTGTTATGAGAAGTCTTTGTGATTCCACTCGTATGATAATGACAAATTGTGATTATCAGGTACCTTTGAGGGCAGCCATAACCTCATAGCAATTTAGCTATATTTTGCTGCCTAGCATGATGTAACACCCACCATATCGGCCAGTGAGATGTAGAGAAACATGCCCCCGGCGACGGCGAAGATGACGTTGGGGGCGAAGCTGCCGCCCACCAAGACCCCCAGCACCAGGCCCACATAGCAGGACATTGCTGACAACATGTTGAAGAAGACGGCCTGGGGGATACTCATGCCTGCATTCAGCAGGATCACAAAGTCACCTGTAGGGTGAGCAAGAGCCATCAACTCGCCAAGCTTTCAACAAACGTCAATCAATCCAGATGTATTTTCATTCTGCTCCACCCACGTTTCCCATTGGTCAAAACATGACCGACCTGCTTTATTAGAAGAAAACATCAGTCACTTCCAACATGTGCAACCTCCAGAGTCGCTTCATTTCCTCAGCCAAAAAATGTATACATTGTAGAAATATTCTTCATAAACAGCACAGCTGAATAATAGGGGTCTCTGCCAAAATGGGACCTCAGTTAACCTTTTTGAATATTATTTAACAGTTTTAAACCACCCTGGTTGACAACTGCACTATTGTAGAGAACAGTGTGTGGCCTCTGACCATGTTAATGTGCCTCTGCTGGGGTAGATTTCTCTGAGACTGAGCCTTTGTTGGGCCCAGCATCTCTCAGGTATGTTTTCATGTCTGCTTTTGATAGGATAAGGTGAACGTAAGAGTGAGCCGTGTCTCACCCAGCTCATGCGGGAACTCCTCACAGATAATGGCGATGGAGCTGCTGAAGCCAGTGAGCACAGACACAGTAAACGATGCTCCAATGACCAGGCCGTCGATGAAGTTGTGTATCGCATCGCTCAGCGAGATCATCCACGCCACTGTCTTAATTTTGTGCATGGGCGGGCCTCGCAGCCAGCAGCAGTGGCCGTTGGACACCTGCACCTCCTGGGAGTGAAATTTAGAGAAATTAGGGTCACTGTCAGAGGTGGTCAGAAAGAACCTCGGGTCACTATCAGAGAAGGTCATGAAGAACTTCATATCACTATCAGAGGATCAGGAAGAACCTCTGGTCACTATCAGAGAAGGTCATGAAGAACTTCGTATCACTATCAGAGGATCAGGAAGAACCTCGGGTCACTATCAGAGAAGGTCATGAAGAACTTCATATCACTATCAGAGGTGGTCAGGAAGAACCTCGGGTCACTATCAGAGAAAGTCAGGAAGAACTTCATGCCACTAACAAAGCTAAAACAGAGAACAGGGGTGCCAGAATTATTAGCGTAGCAAAGTACAAGATTAAAAAGAAAGAAACAGCCATTTAAATGCATCCACACGGATAGTTTGGTAATTCACCTTAGAATGTTCTTGAACTGTACGTGGAGGGAAAGCGTAGAACCCAGAGGAAACCCCAAAACGCAGGAAGAACTCCACTCACATAGAGCCATGGTGGAGACGCAAACCACTGCACCACAGTGCCACCCCTTTTAAATACAAACTACACTCAGTGACAAAAAAGTAAAGCACCCAGATGGAGTGGTGTAAATGAAATGAATCTGCACATGTTGTTCATGTGACTGTATCGCAATAAGTATGATATCAGATCAAACGGACAACAGAGTTAGCAGTATGGGCACACTGCTGATCCCATGTCAGTAGGGTGAGGCACCCCTCGGGCCTGGATGCATGTGGCAATATGGTGCAGAAGGGAGTCGTACAGTCGTTGTATCCTCTCCTGTGGCAAGTCGGCCTACAGCTGTTGTAACTGGCCCTTGAGATCCTGCAGATTGGCACTGGATCTGAATTGACGTTCGAGCTGATCCCACAGATGTTCAATTAGGGAAAGATCGGGGGACCTGGCTGGCCATGGGAGGACCTCAACATGATGCAGGCAGTCCGTAGACACATGTGCCATCTGTGGATGGGTGTTGTCTTATTGAAAGATTGTACCAGGGTGCTGTCTCAGAAGGGGAAAGACATACGGACGCAGGATGTCACTGACGTAGCGCTGTGCCGTCAGGGTCCCCAGAATCACTAACAGAGATGACCTGAAGTCATAGCCTATGGCTCCCCACACCATGATGCCGGTGTGTCTCTCCACAACATTGGCAGGATTGGTCCTGTCCCCTTGGTGCCACCATACGCTCACATGACAGTCATCCATGGTAATGCAGAACCAGGATTCAACATGGAACGATGCCACTCATCATCAGTCCAAGCCTACCGTTTACCACTTCAAACCAAGCTGTCTCTGTGTTGGTATTAACAGCAGCCTACGCATGGGACAGTGAACCTGTAGTCCGGCTGATGCCAGTCGTCGAGACACAATGTGGGATGACATGGGGTGTTGTAGAGAGTCCAATACCTGTGTCTGGATGGCAGGCACAGATGTCATGGAGTTCTGTAATGCTTGACACTCAATACAATTATCCTCCCTTGGTGTGGTATGTCTTGGGCGATCGGAACCTTTTTGAATAACGTATGTGGTTCCAACATTGGGCTACTGTGACATCTGCATGCCCCACATGCTAGGCAATTGCATGATACGACCACCCAACCTCATGCAAACTCACAATGTGACTCCTATCAAATTCCGTGAAGTGCTGGTGATGCTGTCTAATGCACCTATGAGGCATCCTCTGTGTCTGGTGACCATACGTGCCAGCTCCTTCCAAATCGAATCATTTACACACCCATCGCTGGTCTGCACGGGTGCCAAATTACATTCAAATCAGACCATTACTTCTGGGTGCTTAACTTTTTTTGTCACTGAGTATATTAAAAACTGCTCATCAGATCACAGAGTTTAGGTACTGCAACATCGATACATGTCTCTAGATTTAATTAAGTTTTCTCACAGCTGAGGCAACAGCTGCTGAGATATAGGATAAAACGAACCTCCCCCTTGATCTTTACTGGTAAAGGTTATAGACTTGGAAAGATTTCAGCTGCCCAGCTTTCAAGCCAATTTTCTGCCACAAATTGGAGTACTCATATCTTTTATGTGATGTGTTTCTGAACCTTGTTCTGTAATTAAATGGCTTTATCAACCTCTGAACAGTCCTGTCTAACTCATTGACTTAGCTGTTAGATTTAGCCCATATATATTTATATTCACATATATATTCATATACAGACACACACACACACACAGCGGTACCTCAGTACTTGAACTCATTAGAACTCCAATTTCTTTAAAGTCGAACCAACCAGTTTGGAAAAAAAAAAAACTAGGACTCGATCTGAATCTCAGAAGTCGAACTGTGAACGCCAACCTAAGATGACTTTTAGGGGAATGAGTCATGCGGCACGTCTCTCAGCGGAAACAAAGGGTAAGGCTTCAGTCTCAGCCTCGCATTCGCTGTGATAGCATCGTTTATTGGTGATAGTGCTTTTTCATTGAAAATCTCAGGTAATACTTTATGTCATTTTGGTAGCCATTGCACAGTTTGGATACATTTATTTTCTTACTTTACAAATTTGTCACGCCCGGCTCGTACGATCCTCCTGTGTGCCACGCCCCCCTCGTAAACCTCGTGTGA